TCCCTGTGATGGACTGGAGACCTGTCCAGGTGTCCCTGTGATGGACTCGAGACCTGTCCAGGTGTCTCTGTGATGGACTCGAGACCTGTCCAGGTGTCTCTGTGATGGACTGGAGACCTGTTCAGGTGTCTCTGTGATGGACTGGAGACCTGTCCAGGTGTCCCTGTGATTGACTGAGACCTGTCCAGGTGTCCCCCACCTCTCGCACAGTGACTGCTGGACATGGACACCAGTGACCCCCACGACCCAGAAAGGAAGCAGCGGGTGAAGGTGATGGTGTCTGGTTTTAAAGCTCTGTCTGCAGATGTTGCTCAACAAAGCGGAGACAGGCATCACGTCCAGCTAACAGACTTTTAGTTTAAGGACGTTGACATGAGAAGCCTGTTGGGCTAGTTTTGTTTCTACTTCATGATTTTTGTTTCCTGGTCTTCATAACTTTGCAGAGAGAAGTTTTAAGAGTGTTCTTTGAAATTGTTGAGGAATCAGAAAAGCTCAAAGACCTTCAGAACATCTGGTGCTCACCAGATGTTGATCCACTTCAACAGACTACAGGAAAGTCTGCATGTTTTAAATGTTGCTCAGCGTTGCGTGTCTTTCAGAGCGTGCTCTGGATTTCCTCCGTGTTTTCTACCTTCTTGTGTTTTGGTCTCCCCACTGTTCAGGGGTCCTCCATCGTAGGTGGTTCCACTCGGACTGGAGACACTGAAGACCCGGTAGCCAAATTTCTGGAAGGCGGGCGTCTCCCATCGCCACCCCACCGTGTCTCCGACAGAGACCGTGAGCGAGGACGGGCTCCAGGCGTATCCCTGTCCATACGCTGCAACACACAGACAGTTCTGTCAAATTCCCACACAGATACATCCCAGCCCGCAGGTTTGAGCCCCGTGCTCGCACACGCTCTGAGTGTTTGTGTTTCAGGAACAGCTCTGAGGTAGGATCACATGCCAGCTCCTGGCTCTCGTCTCTGTAAGTTAATCTCTGTTGTTGTTCTGGAGTTTAGTGTCAGGTTTAGTTTGACAGCTGCACAAAGACCAACAGGGACGTACTGGGATGGAAGCCCTGGTTCGTGACGATCAGGCTCCTCTCCTCCGACTGAACCACACAGAGCAGCTCGCTCTCCGAGGCCGCCGCAACCTGGCAGTCAGAACTTCCTGTCGACAACAAGCCAGGACACAATGAATGAGCTGCACCACAGACTGACGCTGCGGCTCGAGCAGACTGGTGCTCACCTACAACCACTTTGTTGTCAGCTGGGTTGCTGCTGAAACCAGAGCCAGACACGGTCAGCCTGGTTCCCCCCAGTAAAGAGCCGGACAGCGGGGAGACGCCGGACACCTCCAGGACGTATTCAACGCTCGCATTAACTCCACCGCTGTGCAACAGAAACACAGAGACGAGTTGTCATGATTACCAAACAAACGGCTCATCTTCCAGTACTTCATTTGTCCTGCGAGCTGGACGCTTTGTCTTCAGCAGCTGCTGATGAGTCAGGAAGCCGGGGATGGTGGAGGATAATTAAGGCTCATTTCAAGTTCTCTTGGTTTTATCTGATTTAAAAAAACAACTAAAACTCAGTAAACACCATTTTATAAAACTCTACGTATAAAATGCTTGTCTTTATTTAATATATGTCCCTCCAGAGAAGAAGAACTGACGTCATCTGTGTTGAGCAGGATCATTTGTTTGTTAGCATGTAGCTACAGGTTTTATATTCACATCAAACGTTTCTTCTGACCGTCACGGATTATGCAACAAAAAGTGATTGGACATCAAAAACTCTGGTTGCTGTTGGACTCATGACTCGGGGTTAACGGGACTCTTGTGGAGAGACAAACACCTCAGCGTCTCCGTCTGGAAGGATTTACCAGACACCAGCAGTCTAGTGAAGAACTTTTTCACATTTAAGACCTCCACAGAACCTTTGTCCCAGCTGCAGTTAGACCTGGACTTTCTGCTAGCACCGCTGCCTCGTATGGGAACCGGGCGGACCAGGACGGACCAGGACGGGCCAGGTGAATGCACCATCAGGACAATACTCAGGCTGTTGCACCCGTCCAACCACACACGTGAACAATAAACCTTAAAATCTCAACTTGGACACTCGATGCTTGTCACGCTATCTGTACCTCGTCTGGGGGAATCCTCTGTTCCCAACGTGCACGTCCACTTCGTACACGCTGGGTGGCAGCACCGGAAGGAGACATGTGATCTGTGTCTCAGTCCACTGCACGAGGACGCATTCCTTCGGTCCAACGAGCACCACGCTGTCGTTACCTCCGAGTCCCAGATTTGAACCCTGGATGGTGAGAACCTGGTGTCCTGAACAAAAGACAAGAAAAGCCGTCAGAGTTTCCACTGACACCTAAAGGCACAGATAATCTTCACTTGTCAGGACTAATTGGTGCCTTTGAAAGCATCACTGATCGTCCTGCAGGTATTCTCACAGCAGATTACACGTTCGTCTCCTCTGATAAAAGACAACAAAAGACCAAACTGATAAACCTGCAGGTCAACATTGCACAAACCCGAGACAAAAAGAGAGGAAACAAAATGTTCCCGGTCTGCGAGTTCACGGTGACGTGAACCCAACAGCTGTGGAGCAGAGATCATTCATGCAGCACATGGCGTGACCAAGTTTTACCACTTTTAGACCTTCAGTCTCACGTCTACTGTGTTTGGTGACAGAAACACAAAAGGCAGAACTGTTTTCAAAGAGAAGTTAAAGAACAATAAAGAATGCTGGTTATCCAGTTTGTTCTCAGACTGAAAGAACCCCGAGTCCAGTTCTACACGAAACAGGCGTCCATTCACAGCCAAGCTGTGTTATTAACCCTCGAGTCCTCATCATCAGCCGGGTTCTCAGGCGTCGCTTCGTTCAAACATCGGGCCTGACCCGGGCAGAGCCAGAACTGTTCAGCATGACTCGTCTTACCCAGCACAGTGGTGGTCTGAGGACTCAGGCCGGAGATCTGAGGCGTCAGGTTGTTGTCGTACATGAAGGTAGCGTTGGCGGTCTGACTCATGTGTCCCACTGTTACCATGACGACCTGCGGTCCTGCAACTCCCTGAAGAACAATAAAGATGTATTTTAGATAAATCACTTTCCAAAACTTCTAACAAATTCAAACATTTGAACTTGTTGGTCATTAGTTGGACTTGTTGGTCAGATGATAGACTTGTTGGTCATTGGATGGCTTGTTGGTCATTGGATGGCTTGTTGGTCATTGGATGGACTTGTTGGTCATTGGATGGACTTGTTGGTCTTTGGATGGACTTGTTGGTCAGATGATGGACTTGTTGGTCATTAGTTGGACTTGTTGGTCATTGGATGGACTTGTTGGTCATTGGATGGACTTGTTGGTCAGTGGATGGACTTGTTGGTCATTGGATGGACTTGTTGGTCAGTGGATGGACTTGTTGGTCAGTGGATGGACTTGTTGGTCATTGGATGGACTTGTTAGTCAGATGATGGACTTGTTGGTCATTGGATAGACTTGTTGGTCAGTGGATGGACTTGTTGGACAATGGATGGACTTGTTGGTCAGTGGATGGACTTGTTGGTCAGTGGATGGACTTGTTGGTCAGTGGATGGACTTGTTGGTCAGTGGATGGTCTTGTTGGACAATGAATGGACTTGTTGGTCAGTGGATGGACTTGTTGGACAATGGATGGACTTGTTGGTCAGTGGATGGACTTGTTGGACAATGGATGGACTTGTTGGTGAGCAGGTCTCATTCTGCTGTGTTAGAGCTCTTGTTCTGAAGCTCCTGGTCAGGGTTTGCTGTATGTATTTAACCCTGGCTGGAGTTAGTCTGGTCCTTTAAGACAGTCCTGAAGTGTTCTAACTATAAAGGTTTAAATATTTGGAGAACGCTGAGTTCTGCAGCTTTCAGGTCCAACAGAACACATTTATTGACTTACAGCCGGCGTTCTGCACCGCAGCTCAGCGTCCTCTGCTCGGATCGTCACACAGTCCTCGCCGCCGACAGTAACGGTGGCGTTCTGACCGAGGCCGAAGCCTCGCACTGTCAGCTCGGTGCCCCCTGGGGAATCAAAGACCGGCAGAATTAATTCAGTTAATTCGGGTTGTGTGTTTTTACAGTTTTACAGCGTTTAGTCTCCCACCTGCGACGCCTCCGGACAGCGGGGAGAAAGACGAAACGATGAGCTGGTAGGTGAAGAGGAGGACGCTGCTGTTGGCGTAACGAGAACCGCCCAGAGAGGGGAAGCTGACCAGCACCGGGTAGGTGCCTGCACCGGCTCCGCCCACTCTGCACACCTGAGTGGTAGCTAAAATAAATGTTAAAAAAAAGGTTAATTTAGTGAAAACAGCCAGCAGGACATCTCTACACTTCAATAAAAACAAACGTTTGCAACACGTCGTGTAATGTTCGGAACAACAAGAGCCTCGGCCCAATAAATACATAAATCAACACATTAACACTATTTGAATGAAAAAGAGAGAATTACATTAAATAAGTACAAGTAAAATTAAGAATACATCTTATAACAATCACTTAATTTCTTATAATAAAAACAATTAGAATTTTGACCATTCCATAAATATTTAAATAAACGTAAATAACAATAATGTAACTGTTTGATAATTAAATGGCTGCCGTGTTGAAGTGCATCATAAAAGGCTGGCTGATTAAATAAGTTCATAAAACAGAAACTGTGTACAAGCTGTCACCAAGTCCTTCAGATTGTCATGTTTGGCATATTCAGGTGAGTTTTTTACGGCTTTATTAAAATGAGACACTTTTTTTACTCCATACATTTAATTACCGAGATCATTTTTATTTAAAAAAGCACCAACGTAGGATTTTAACATTTAGGTGTTGTAGAAAGGTGAACAATTATTAAACTACAAGCTGTTTATTTAAAAGGACCGTTGTCTTACCTGTGACCTGTTCCACCTCACAGCTGGCCCCTCCCACCACGATGGAGGCGTTCTCACGGCTGAATCCAGACCCAGTGATGGTCAGCAGAGTCCCCAGACCCCTGGACCCTGGAATGATCTTACAGTAAGTACGGCACAGTTTGCTCTACAGTGAATTGTGGGTAAAGCAGGTAACCTTGAGATGGGCTGATCCCAGTCACAACTGGAGTGTTCTCCTCGGACCACTCGAAGCTGCAGTCGCCAGAACAGTTGGAGGGAATTCCGTTGATGTACACCTCCACCTGCAAACAGCAACACGAACCTCCTCATCACAAACATGCTTTCATGAAGTCGGCCATGTTGGCTGTTGTTGAGCAACATGGAGGAGATGCTCACTGAAGGAGCAGAGTCAGAACCAGGACCAGATCTAGAGGACAGGAGCTGTACCTGAGGTCTCGTTTCCCACACCCTGAAGGAATCTCCTCTCAGGCCTCGGAGCAGCAGACCTCCCTTCACCGCCTCCACCGCAGAAACGACGGCGTCTTTACCGACAACCAGCGAGTCGTCGATCTGTGGACGGGTTAAATAAAAAATAAATAAATGACAACCAGAGATAAAACTTGAACACTCTTCACTTTATTTGAGCAGAAACTTTGTGCTGTGACGTGAAGACGGAGTAAAACTCCTGCTCGTCCTCCTGAGCTTCTAATCTCACAAATAAAATGTGACTGCACCATGAAGCACGTGATCTACCTGAGAACAGTAAGAGCGCCGCTAGTCGCAGCAAGACCAAGCAAGCACAGACAGACCTTCATCAGGGGCTGGTCTCCAGGTTTTGTGAGCCACTGGACGCTCCAGGTGAGACCTCTGCAGCTTCCCTGCTTTACAACCTTCACCTGACCCATCTCTGAGATCCCCTCCAGAGCGTACTTCAGGTCCTCCTCGCTGATGTCCACCGACAGACCTGAGGGACGGAAAACAACGTTTAGCATGAACTGAAACAGGAAACAAAGTGCTCCATCATCATCATCATCGTTGTTGTTGTCAGAGACAGTGGACTTTGATCATTTCTGAGCAGATGAACTGTGTTTTGTACGGTAAAGTAATTTATTTCATGTTTGTTACAAGTTATATGCCCACAGCATCAGCATCTAGAAGAACTCTTTAATGAAACCAGGACGAGGAGTTACAACATTTAATTTACCTCTGGGATTAATCAAGTAGTTTTGAATTGAATTTTAAACTTCTGTGTCTCTTAGTGATCCAAACTTTTCTGTTTGCCACAGAAACAGTGTTGTTTGTTTGTTATTCTGTTTGTCTCCATGCGTCCCTGGGATGGACTGGAGACCTGTCCAGGTGTCCCCCGCCTCTCCACAGTGACTGCTGGACATGGACACCAGTGACACCAGTGACCCCAGTGACCCCACGACCCGAAAAGGAAGAAGCATGGATCGATGTTTCTCAGTTTGTTTGTACGGTGGCCTTAAGGTGCAAAAGAAAAAACAGAATTACATTAAGCCAAAACAGGAAGTTTTTATTTTTTTATTATTTTTTTAACTTTATTAACAGCATAAAACTGAACAACAGAACAATATACAGTGCACACACTTGGCTTAATGTATTTCTGTTTTTCAAAAGTAATTCTGTTTTTTCAAATGTTCATTTACACCTTAGGGCCATATGTTTGTTTTTCAGTTTGTTTGTTTCTCAGTTTGTTTGTTATTCTGTTTGTTTGTTTCTCAGTTTGTTTGTTTCTCAGTTTGTTTGTTTCTCAGTTTGTTTGTTATTCTGTTTGTTTGTTTCTCAGTTTGTTTGTTTTTCAGTTTGTTTGTTATTCTGTTTGTTTGTTTCTCAGTTTGTTTGTTTCTCAGTTTGTTTGTTTTTCAGTTTGTTTGTTTGTCAATTTGTTTGTTTGTCAGTTTGTTTGTTTCTCAGTTTGTTTGTTTGTCAGTTTGTTTGTTTGTCAGTTTGTTTGTTTGTCAGTTTGTTTGTTATTCTGTTTGTTTGTTTCTCAGCTTGTTTGTTTGTTTGTTTGTCAGCTCGTTCATGAAGAAGCCAGAGCACACCTCAGCTCAGAGCGGCCGCCTCGGTTCGTCCTCGTCCTCTTGGCTCGGACTACAGTAAGTTCAAGTTGTTCAAGCACAGTAAGCTGTGACAGGAGGACGGATTGTGCAGCGACGTTCTGGAAACGCTCCAGACGTCTGCTCGTCTTTGTGATAACGGCGCCCGTGGGCTATAATTAGGTTCAGGACGATCCTGTCTCTGACGCGCTGAGCACAGTCACGACAGTTACTAGATCACAGATAACACGATCCACCTTCAGCTCGGCCTCCGTAGATCTCCACATCAAAGGTGCCGTTCAGAGGGGGCGTGGCTCTATGAGGGCGGGCGATGCTGACGCTGGCTCCGCCTTCCATGAACTGGGCCGAGTCGTTGCTGCTGTGGGACATCTTTCAACACACAGCAGAGAAGAGGGTGAGCAGCTTCACGTCTAGTCCTGAAGCACAACAGCTTCAAAGAAGACCGAAGTCTAAAAAATGAAATACTTTTCCTTCTTCGGCTTTCTCTACACGCCGAGCATGCCTTACACGGTTCTACGACCCTTTCTTTGTACATGATTATTCATTTAGATGGTTTGTGAACCTTTCTCCTCCAGCCCCTGTAAAGTCATAACTCCAAACCGTTACCTGCAGGAAGCCGATCTCCATCAGTGGGAAACCAAAGGCGCAGTCCTGCGGCGTGGCCTTGATCTGGTACTGGACCTGTGGACCGGCTGCTTGCTGTTTGGTGACGGAGAACGCCTGGATGGACTTTCCAGAACTCTCAAAAGGTGGCGGCCTCCTCTTGTAGAGAACAGCTAAGGAACAGGAAGAAGTGGGTCATCCGCTGATTGTGACGGCTCTTGTCATCGTTTGTTTGTATTTTAGCTCCAACACAACAAAACGCCCGAACACTGAAAGAAACTGCATCAAACACGGTTTGATTCAAGTGGTTCAAGAGTTGGTTTGAAACTTTTTACAAGTTTTAAACTTCAGTTTGATATTTCGTTCTAGTTTTCAGTCGTGTTTGTAGCTCAGTTCTGTTCCCGCTTTTTTCCTCAGCTCCGTCCACACCTGCTCTTCATTATTCATTAATTATTGTTAACCTTGATTAAACCAGGCACATCCCACTGAGAGCCCAGGCCGGGACTGAAGGCACCTAATGTGCACGTTTTGAAGTGCACGGACTCACCAGTCAGAGACTAAAGTGATCCATCCTCAGAGTGGTTTTAGTTCAGCTCCTGAACCGTGTGAAGTCTGCCCGGGGGCTCTGTGCCCCTCGCGACACCGATGCCCTCGTTCTGTTATAAACCAGCTGTGTTCAGTGACCTCTGTTTTATTCCACCTCAGAAAACTGACCGAGCTTGTGTACGAAGACAACGACCTCAGTCCTGCGGATGAATCCGCTCGTACCGTTCTCGTCTTGTGTCGTGGGACTCTTCCCGATGTAAACAGCGTCCACATAAAAGTCTGCTGCCGAGGCGTCTCTGTAGAGGTAGAGCTCCTGCAGGGAGTACTTGCTCCCGACATACGCCGTCTGCAGAGCGCTCTGAACATCCATGCATCTGTAGCTCCACCTGTGAAGACACGTCACTCTCACACGCTGCAGAGACGTTCAGCCAAAGCGTTCCAACAAAACGACTCGCTGTGTTTTACTGACTTGGCTCCCTTGTTGAAGACGGTGCTGATGTTCGCCGTGATCGTCTGGGTTTGTCCGTTGATGCTGCTGTATGTAAACTTTATGCCAACTACATCCTTCAACGCCCCCTTGTACGCAAAGCAAAGCTGAGAGGAGAAACAAGAATCTGTTGTAAAAAATTTACACATATATAAGGATATATATATATATATATATATATATATATATATATA